TTGTCCTGTTGAAAAATAAATGTTGGTCCAACTAAATGCAAACTGGATGGGATTTCATGTCGCTGCTGGATGCTGGGGTAGCCATGCTGGCTCCATGTGATATCAATTGTGAATAAATCCCCAACAGTGTCACCAGTAATGCACCCTCACCATTACACCTCCTCCTCCATGCTTCACGGTGACTATCTAAAAGACACGGTGGGTCGAACCAAAAATCTCAAATTTGGACTCATCAGACCAAAGATTTTCATCAGATGTCCATTCCTTGGGTCTTTTGGTCCAAACAAACTCTTCTGATTGTTGCTTTTCCTTAGTAGTGGTTTCTTAGCAGCTATCTGACCATACAGTAAAGGTCTGATTCATACCAGTCTCCTCTGAACAGTTGATGTAGAGATGCTACTGGAACTCTGTGTGACATTTATCTGGGCTCTACTCTGAGGTGCTGGGAACTTGTGTTTTCTGAGTCTGGTGACTCGGATGGATTTATCCTCAGCAGCAGAGGTGACTCTTGGTCGTCCTTTCTTGGGGCGATCCTCATGTGAGCCAGTTTCGCCATAGTATTTGATGGTTTTTGCGACTGCACTTGGGGACACATTCAACGTTTTAGCAATTGTCTGGACGGACTGACCTTCAGTTCTTAAAGTCATGATGGACTGCTGTGTCTCTTTACTTATGAAATCTAAAATTTGTCAAACAGGGTTGTCAGCTGTGTACAAACCTGACTTCTGCACAATGCAATTGATGATCCCAACCCCATTAAGAAGGCAAGAAATTCCGCAAATAAACTCTGACATGGCACACCTGTGAAGTGAAACCATTTCAGGCGACTACATCATGAAGCTCACTGAGAGCACATTCAGAGTTTACAGTGCTGTCATCATGGCAAAGGGTGGCTACTTTCAGGAATCTAAAATATAAGACAGAGTGATTTATCAGTTTTTTCTTTGCTGCATAATTCCATATATCTTTCTTCATATATTTGATGTCTTCGGTATGTATCTACAATGTAGAAAGTAGTAAAAATAAAGAAAAACCATTAAATGGGAAGGTGTGTCCAAACGTTTGAGTGGCAGTGTATCTGTGAGCCTCAGTTAGCCACACAGTCTTAGTGACTGACCAGCAAACCCACACATTGACCTCCTGTGACTAAAGATAAAATGTATATTTCCTGACCAGCTGGCGATTGATTGATTGATTGATTGATTGAATTTTATTTTATTTTGATGTTTTCAATGTTGAAATCTGTTGCAAAGATGGTGTCACTAGCAGACTTGTGCGGTCACTCCGTTTGTATCGATGATACCAACTTACAACTTACATGCAGACCATATCATCATCATTTGCTCTCTGACCTTTAATGAAACTTGAAAATGTGCAACGCAAACTGGAAATGGAACATTTGCCTTCAAAGTAAAAGTTGCAGTGGTAAGGCGCAACTTTTACTTTAAAGCTGGTAAGCAGATACAATTACCAGCTAGTTTCCATTTGGGATTTTGTGATACCGGGGGTCACCGACCTGTCTATAGGCCTGCGTAATTGGGGTTTTAGGAGTCAATGTCAATGCTATCAATCACTTGCCAAACGTGGAATACTGAATTTTTCTTCAGGACTGAAAATGCCAGATTTTCACTTGGTGGCTTCTAGCATTGTGACTGAGCCTTTGTACGGGATGCTCTTTCAGTCTATTTACCTGCTAGAAGATGACCTCACTCAGCAGTATTGTGTGATAGAAACCTGAAACTGGTCCTGTCGGAATAGAGCTTTTTTGTGATATGAAACTTTTGGCTTGGGGGTGCGTTCAGTTGCTGTCACAACTGTCAGTAATAGTATTGTCTTAGTTGATGTGGTCAAACTACAGCTGCTGCTACTGCTGACAGTACAATCAATCTTTAGTAGTCTTAAATATGTTCCTGCCCTCTGAAGGTGCCAGTGTTTCAAACAGTAATATTAGTTTTGCTCACTCTTCTTCTAGAGTAATGATTTAAAACATGATTCTGTCCTACATCTTTCTATTTTAACTAGTACTATTTCAAGCGGTAGTCTAGAGGTCACTCGTATTACAATCTTGGCTTAGTTGAGATGCTTCTGCACCTGAAGAAAGAAGCTCATCTGGCTTCCAAAGCTCTCTTTGAACGAAAATGTATTCCGAGCCAGGTAGACCTTTAGGATTTGGGCCTCATAAGACGCTGATGTGATTATGGAAGGCTTGACTGAGACTGAGCAGTGCATTGATTTGCAGGTCATGTTGTACAGTTTTCTGACACATCAAAGGGACTTTTTAAAAGTGAGAATTTGTAAATTTACAATGCTCTCAGATGTGACTATAAAATTTTCAGTTTGCCTCAAGACTATTCAAATATGTAGAAATCCTTCTGCCAGCCTTCTAATAGGATGGAAATATGTAGGGCAGTTATTGACCACATTAAATGGATCTGCAGTGACGTCTGTAAAGTATTTAACTGAGGTTAGTTAGCAGTTCAATGTAGTTGTCCAAGTTAATTATTCTTTAAATAATTTTTACTGTTTTCTGTTCAATAGCCTAATCCTTTAAATGTGATTATTGTAAAGAATGTTTTATACTCACTAATAGTTAGACAAACAAAGCATAGCGGAGGCTGACTGCACTGATAAGTCAATTTGAGAACACACACTTTGAAACCAATTTCTTTTAGATCTAAACACCATCTTTATGACATACTGAATGTTTTATTTGTCCCAGTTTACAAACCAAACCTAGTTTCCATCATTATTTCAAAAATAAAAACAAAATGAAGAATTCTTCCATAATTCTTCTTGGATGGCTTCTTGTGGTCATATTAATGAGTGTAAACCTTTCCAGTAACTCTGAGATATTTAGAGAACCAAAATCTTTCACTTTGTTTTTCTTGTCAGACCGAGCCTAAGCCTGTGTCTGAGCCTGGTTTAATGCTATGTGCTGACACTTGTGGAAGGTCTATTTCTAGCCCCACACATCACAAAGATCTGGCACCTACGGGACACCTACTAACTGCTCTCCTTACATTCTAATCATTTTAGGTAACAAGATGTACTAGATAAACCCACACTGTCCAGAGAACATAACATTTCTCAGTAAGCAAGTTATGATTTGTCATAGAGATCATGCAAAGGGCTTTGTAAACCCCCACCACCACCACCCGTTTTGTCCCCACTTACTGGTTTGTTTCTGTTTCTTCTTTCTTTCCCTGATTTTCTCTATAACTAACCACTGTGCTCTACCTACTCTATGGTTCTCATTTGTTTTTTATGCTGAATTTAGGACTGCTCCTCTGTTACAGCTTCATCTGAACACTGAGGAATTCTGCTGTAGTCAAAGGATCTCAGTAACATCTGTGTGTGTACAGTATGGTTGTTTGCTAAGTGTTGCTAGTTTAGTTTGTCCCTTTTTCATAACGTACTTGCACTAAAACATGAAGTTAATAGTGGTTCAGTGATTTTTGTGACGTAATCTTATATCAAATGGCCAGTTTGTCCTGTTTTGACAGTGTGACCATGTCAGCAGTGTTCTGTTTGGAAAGGTTTGCATTTCCCCTTATTCCTTATTAACCTGCAGCAACCGATAAATCTGTTTTGTCAGGGCTATTTTCAGTCAGCGCACACATGGTTTAGAAAGAGATGTACGTAAAGGATTATTGAAGAGGCCTAATCCCACCTTTACAGGTAATATAACAGTTCAGTCACACAGTTATATTGTGTGACTGACTGCGGTGTAATGAAACATCACATAGTCAGACACACAAAGTAAATATGTTACAATAAAGAATTGTAACATCAGATTAAACAGTAACAGATTGTTTGATAGACTGTTAGACAACTATGTGCTATATAGTTGTCCAGATAATAGTTCAAATCAATATATAGGTCGTTAGGAAACTCCAGTGAAGACTGATCTGTACACAAGGTCTAAGTTTTAAAGTGGGGAAAAATAAATATGTGCAGTAGTGCATGCAGCACCGTAGCAGCAGAGATGGTAGTGAACTGACTACAGCTCGTTCGTCTGCAACGAAGTTTCCTAACCAGTAGGAATTCAGAGGAACACGGCAGTGTGGAAGGTAGCACTGATGCCTTACAGCAAGAAGGTTCTGGGTTTGAATCCAGAATTCAGTCTGGGCCTTTCTGTTGATACAGCCGTGCAGCACGTTACACTTAACTGATGACAGGATTTCTCATTCGGCAGCTTCCTCATAGCTCTCACACATCCTTGCTAAGAGGAGTTTACATGCCTGAGCATAATGAAAAGCACCTTGCGTACATCCAGGAAACTCACTTCAGTTGCTGACTTTTAGAGAGCAAAAAAATTCTTGAGTTGGAGAAAACCCCGTAGGAACAAGGAGCACATGCACACCCCACACAGAAAGGCCACCCTCAGAAGCCTGGGTATCTGAACCCAGAACTCTGTTGCTGCAAGGTGGCAGTACTAGACCCGTGTATTGGTCGGGCTCTAGCATTGAGTGTGTGTCAGCAGTGTTTTTGTAGCCGCAGTATTAAAAATGACTAGGTATGTACATTTATAGTGAGGAGATGTGAATTCAGTTAGTTTATGTATGCACAGTGTGACTAAAATGTGGGAGGTTTATCTGTTACAGCAGATGCTGTGAAATCATCCATCCATCCGTTTATCCATCGTCTTCCACCTATCTAATTCAGGGTCGTGGGGGAGCTGGAGTCTATCCCAGCTGTCACAGGGCTGTGAAGTGTATATTAGAAAAATTACCACGTAAGGAAGTGGTTGGTATAGTGAAAGGAAACGCAGTGCAAACTGTTGTCAGCATGAACCCAATCAGCAGATCCTTTGTTTTTATCTTTCTGTTTTCTAATCATAGCACTGTTCTGTCTTCAGCACAAATGTATAATTGTATTATAAGAGAACCAAGAAATATAGAAGAAACACACTACAGCAGAGCCCTGGGGCTACGTCTACCGTATGTTGTTTTTTTCTCTTATGTTTTGACATTTGCTTTCATTGTTGCTTTGTGTCTCAGGCGCTGGTGCCCCGGAGTGAGGCAGGAAGACGGAGGACGACTTCTTTCTGTTTCATCAGCAGCAGGGGACAGGAGAGCGGAGAAAGATGCCCAAACCGGTTAGTACCTACATCAGGAATGAATGGTTCACTTACTAGAGTCATGTCATAGTTACTCCCTGTATTGCTATTCTTAAGTCCTGCAAGGTTTTCCCAATCATCAGATTGCAGGGTTTTGGGGGAGTTGTTGCATCGATTTAGGTTTGTATCTTTTTTTTTTTTTTTTTAATTCTGTGCTATGGGCAAAGCAAGGATCTAATTGCTCATGTCAGCAGCATGTAAGGTTCCTGAAGGTTTGGATTTGCATTTTGCAAATGATTATAAAAGAAATTAATGACTTGAGGATGTTAGAAGATGGCAGCCCATTCAGTTAGCTCTAAATTTGCCCAGCTAATGCATTTGCTGGACAATGGGTTTGTCTGGGTTGTTTCACACTTATGCACACTTCTGATTTCTGGGGCTAGAATAAAGACAATGCAAAATTTAGGTTTCCTGTATATGTGAACAACCTTGAAGTTTCAGGGGCTTTCACACATAAACACCAATTAGTTTGTTTGTTTTTATCACAGTGAGTCAATTTGTCTCTTACAAATATAACATTCAAGAAGATATTAACCACACAACCTGAGGATCATCATTTTATGTACAGTATCTGCTGAGCTCTTGGTTGTTCCTCCATTGAATACTCAGGCTAAAGCTTCTGTCAGAGAAAAATGGTTGGCTGTAAGCTCAGGATGGGTTTTGGGTTCTGGTTGGAAAACCGAAACCATTGTTCTTTTCCTTCTCCTCAAGTGTAGCTGGAGGCAGTAGTACTGGTGACATGAATTACATGAGTCTAGACTTTCTTTTCAGCTCTACTAGTCAGAAGTAATGCTTTGTAGGACAACACAGAGTTTTGGGATAACACACACGCATGCACAGAGGCACAACAGTCGTCCACTTTGTGGGATTGTCCTGTCTGTTGAGGGGGAAAAACCCCACAAAGAGGGCTTTCTCTGCTCTATTTTTAAACTGAAGGACACTGGGAGCTTTCATTTTGCTGTGACACAAACGTGTAGAGGCTGAGATTGCACTGCCGCTTAAATAACAGGATTATATTTTGATGGCTGTGATGTATTTTCTGTCTATTACTTTAATATTACTTTAGAAACGCAATGTAAACTCCTCAGCATGATATAAACAAAATTAAAGGCGGTGGTTATGAAGAAATATAGAATTTTATTCCAGATTTAAATACTAACAGAACCAGATGTTTAGTAAAAGTCAATTGTGGTTTTCCAGCCTTAGTTTGGTGAACCAGCTCAATGCATCGCTATAAACCTCAAGCAAATAATAATAATGGGTTCAAAGCAGATTACAGATGGAGCAGATAGTGATCATTAAAAACTAAAGCTAGGGCAGGAAGCTGGACGTTACGGGGCTTTTATGATCCTGCTGCACGTACACGCTGGCTGCTTACACGGTTTTCTTGAGCCAGAGAGCGACAGGACTGAACCCTTGGCCCATCAATCTCGGTAATGGGGAATTAGGCCAGACACAATTCCTGGAAAGAGGAGATTGTGGGGGAGAAGCAGCAAGAGGATGGGAGGTGAAGCATGAGACACAAGGTAATAGAATAGAAAGATGAAGAGATGCAAAATGATGAAACGGCTCATAAGAAAAAGGATAAAAATGACAGAAGAGCAGAAGACGATAAAATGTTCCTGTCCATAAAGATGCCTTCGGAGGGTTTGTGATATGAAATAATTTGGGGTAGTGTTACAGGCTTTTACAACAAATTTGAATACTTACGTAAAGAGGTTAGCTCTGCGAAACAATCAGAGATGGTGCTGAGCCAGATCAGATGGGAATTGCTGGAGAAATTGTGTGGTGGGAGGATGGAGACAGCGCTATGGACAGATAGATGGGGGGGAGGGGTGCAGGAGTGAAGGAGAAATTTGTAATGAAAGTGCAGATTATTGAAATTGACCATCGGAAGTGAAAACAAAGGGATAAAAGAGGATTTGGGAGAGGACTGAGTGATGGGCACTTTGTTCACCTCCAGTCTAGAAAAACGACACCCAAGCTACCCTTGAGGGGAACTCCCACTCTGGTTACATTACAATGCACTTTGACATTAAGCCTAGCGGTTGAATAGTAAACACATCAGCCCTTTCACTGCTTCATTTATGCATTCTGGTTTCCTGAAAATGCTTAAATGTCACTTTGGATTACAAGCTAAAGCTGAGTTCCCCCTGAAGGCATACCTATAACCATTGAGCACATAAGCTAGCCTGACTCCTTCAGCTCCAAGCTAATAAGCAACAAAAGAAGAAACTGTAGACAGGAAAAACGCATCAACAATTGAGGTGACCCGAAAGGTCTGCAAAGAATTTGTCTTGTTGGGGCACAAAGAAAGACCCTCAAAAGGCAAGACAGGCTATAAGCTAGCTAGCCCCAGGAAAGCCATTAAAAAGTGAGTTTGCACTAGATCGTAATCCTCCCTTAAGCAGTGTTTTAATGGCAAGTACACACCCCTAACCCAACATGGACGACCCCTGCTACTGACTGCTTCCTTCCTTCTTCTTTCATGTAGGTCAAAGGGGGTTGTACAAAACGAGTCTGTGTTAGGAAGCAGCCCAGAAATTGATTGCTGTAAAAACAGAGGGTGAATTCTTCAAAAACAGTGAAATGAAATTGAAATGAAATTTTCTTTTTTCTTTCCTCACATTTTCACATGTTGTACTGTGACTGAGAATTTTATATTCCCTCATCAGATAACCTTGATAATGAAACACAATACCACACCCTACCTTCACAATAATCTTGAGCTTGGATTTGGTTGGCTCTTGACTATAAGGACACTTGAACTAAAGTAGGGCTGCCACAAATGATTATTTTGATAGGTGACTAGTCACCGATTATTTTTTCAATTGGTCGACTAATCAGATCATGCATCCATTGAACGTCAAACGTACAGCTTATTGCACCAGCAGCATCTGCTCTTATATAACTATCATTAGCTTACAGCTTTAAGTGTTTAAGGTATGTGCTAACTAAAAATAAAGACAAGATGATAGTTTATTAAATTTTAATGAAATTTGCAGATTGTTTCGGTGAAGTTTAATAAACTCCTTGCTATCTAAAATATAACAGGACACCGGAGTATATTCTCGAGCATCTCACACTTCTGATAATCAGCTGTCTGCTTGACGTTTATTCAGCTGTGTAAAAACTATAACTTTAACTCAGGAACAAATAAAATACTGAAAAAAGCCAAACAATAACATTTTTAAGTTATCTAAGTGACTTATATATATTTAACCTGAGTAGCGAAAGACGGCGGTGGGTTTGAAAACGATTTGCCGGGAGTCCGGTGTTCTCACGGCTCTAGTGACCTAGCCCCCGGCTAGCTATCGAGCTAGTGGGTAACAGACGTCTCCGAAAACGTCGGAGCGCTTTTGAAAATATGTGGTGTCCTGATAAACTGAGCCGATATTTGAGGTTTACACAGCTACATTCTCGCCTGAAAATATGTTAAACGTTTATTTTGTGACCCAGAAAGAATAATAAGAGTAATATTAAAACTAACTAGCTGCCGCCATTGTTGGAAACTGAGCTGGGCCGCGCTATGAATTCTGGGACACAGCTTCTTCGGGGTTTAACGGCAGCTGGCATCCTTGTACATGCAGTGCTGCCATCTTCTGTTTCAGTCCGTTATTACACTCTTAAATCCTACTACTTATTCCTGCGTCTTTTGTGATCTTACAAAGCTTCAAACGATGCGTCGACTATTAAATTAGTTGTCGACGATTTTGATAGTCGACGTAATTGTGACTAGTCGACTAATCGTGGCAGCCCTAGACTAAAGCAACATCTGAGATCAAGCTGAATGTAACCTGTTCAAATCCCAAGAACTTTTATGCAGCTTTTAACAGAACTTGACAAACTTCTTATGTTCTGTAAAATCACTTTTCTGGTGATTGCCTAATGCTAAAACTCAGAAACTAAATGTTCTACCTTTAGAGACATTAATCTTTGGCCGCCAATGCCAACTTCTATTTCTTGCAGTACATATAACCATCAGGAGTCTAGACAATGATGTAAGCTTGATTTGTTGGTGGTAGGGCTGTTTGATATAACGATATATATCAGATGACGATATAAAAACGTCTATGTTTCATTTTACGCTATCGTTTGTTTCGTGGTGTCGCAAAATAAACTGTTTACGGCAATATTTTTTCATCGTTTTGATGGTCACTGTAGTGGCTATATTAATTTCTTAAAGTTCTCTCTTTCTCTTATATTTAATATAACCACACTACAGACGGACAAGCGCCTGTTTTTATGCGTTGTGGTTAGCAACAACGACGGTAACAGCATCGCGTGTCCGCTTGTTTATGTTCCACATAAACCTTTCACAATAAAGCTCAAGATCCTGTTGAGACTTTTCAAAATAAACTGAATCACGTGAAAGAGCAGATTATTTACGGATGAGAAGTAAAAAAGAGCCGCCAGGTGCTAAAAAATAAACCTTAGACTCAAACGTTAGAACAGGCTTTTCCCCGCAGCACGCCGTGTAATAAATACTCACAAAGAAAACGGCGCCGTTACAACTTATGTCTAAAAATGTTCGTTTTTTGGTCATATCGCACAGCCCTAGTTGGTGGAGGCTTGCAGTCCCATGGCAGTAAATCAGTTAAAAAATGTCTACCCTTAATATACTGTGTGCATGTGTCATTATTTATGACACATGTTTGATTGTGTGCTGCCCACTTAAAATTAAAAAATGAATTAAAGGGAAAAGACTCCCTTTCGAGGTTGCCGGGTTTAGGTCTTGATCAGTTAGACTGTAGCCACTTTGACATTTCAGATGTTGGGAGCCTGGCTTGACTGTGATGTGCGTATCATGTATCATTACAGTCGACATGTTTGTTTTACCCATCCTCATCTGCCGGGTCAAAGCCTAAAGTTTAGCTGCTCACAGAGGCCACACGCAAAGCCAGCGTTTGTAGAGAGACTCACTTCTCTCTACTCATTTCACTTGATGATCATTGTAATGAAAATATTTGAAGTTTTAG